CTCTTTATTGCATAAGCTGGCGAATGAGAGGCAAGCTGAAGCACGTTGTCTTCTGCAGGCCTGTTTCGATTAAGCTAAATTGGATGATTCTGTTTTGCGCTACTTAGCGTTTCATTGTCAAAGCAAGAAGCCATAAGGCAATTTGAGAGTTACTGGTAAGAGGATAGTTATGTATGCTCCGTGGGATTTTTGCATCATGTAACATTTGCAAACAGGGAATTCGGTTATTATTTTGGAGAAAATTTGTGGAATTAAATTTCTGTTTTGACCGTCTAACGTTTGTTAGGATCTGTATAGTTTCTGCCTGTCTAGTCCTGTTTTCCCCTGAGTCTGTCTTGATTGATCCCAGCTGTGTGTCGTTCCTGTGATTACCCTCCCAGTGTATTTAGTCCCACCTGTTGTCAGTGTTCTTTGTCGGATCGTCGTCGTGTCTCACGTCTGTGTCTGTTCCTGTGCTGCCAGAGATTTTCTGTTGTTCCTCCTGGTTTTTTCATTAAATTATATTTCATCATGACTACCTGGGATTCCCGGCGTCTCTCTCACCGCTCTCAACCACACATCATGACAACGTTAATTTTAGACTTTTTAGATTTTCTACAAGTTACACATACATATTCTATTTTAAAAACCAGATTTTCCCATTTACAAAACTGCTAAAGGGGTCATGAAAGTCTAACTGTTCTGTAGAAAACTTGCAACCGAGTCCCGAAAAGTATTTTGTATATGCAAGTTCTTGTACAACCAATAACAGAACTTTGTCTATATTCTTGAAACCAGATTAAGTTTTTTTTTTTGTTTTTTTTTCTACAACAGGTTTAACCATACCAGAGCTTCCGCTTGTACGTTTGTGGTCTTCACGGACATTAGTTCAAGGTGTTATAATGGAAAAGGGGAGATCTGGGTCGGGAGAGAAGGTCTTCCATTAGGGAAGACCTCTGTGCAAATCTGTTCCTGTTATTATAAAAACATAACACAGTAACAAAAGGGGTCAGTTGAGGCGCTCCGCATTACGGCCTCTGAAAAGACTCAAAAAGATGAACAGAGAGAGCTAGTCAGCTATTTGCCTCGCACTTTCATCTCATCTTTTTCTACTTATTGCATGACCTCAAACATGCGCTAAATAAAAGTTATAACAGTGGAGTACTGGAGCATAAACAACAAGCTGAAGCACATTACCTACTACAGGCTTGTTTTGATTAAACATCGACCAGCTACGGGGCCTAAGTTTGGGTCACGTAGGAGTCACGATACCGGTAAATGGAAGGTTGAATTTCTTTATTTTCTCACAAGAAACTGTTGACTTGGGCTGAATTTCATATGACTTTCTACTTCTCTCTTTTACGAAAAAAAAAAAAGGAGCACAAGTAACTAAGTTCATGTGCAAAAACGGAAAAGTAAACTGATGATTTACAGTTTTACACACATGACTGGAGTTAAGAGTTGAGGAACGAAAATTATTATTATTTTTTACCATAAAAACATAAAAACAGCCTTCAATAAAATCAACTTACTCACTTGTTTTGGGAATATTTAGAGAGAACTTCCATCACTGGTGGTTAGGTTGTTAAACCAAATGGCTTCGTGATAACTGAGGAACCTAACTCACTGGGGCAGTCTGTGACACAGAGTTGTAAGTTTTAAAAGGTTGTTTTTATTCCATGTGATCTATTTTTTATTTTTCCTGAGGCAAGAATTGTTTCTATATGTTTTGATTACCAAGAAAAATGATTCCATTCTGTTTTTTTTTTGTTTTATTTTTTTAGCACAGCACAAACCCCCTATTGATACTTAACCATAAAGCAAACATTGAAAAAAAAAACAAAAGCTTGCAGATTTGAGACGGACTACATTAGTGTGCACGGCTTATACCCTTGTCTGGGCTTTGTTTTTCCAATTTACACCCCTTGCCAGCAATTCACTACCTAGTGGTGTTTTTAATTTACTGAAATCTGAAATTGCACATGTGAAACCAAGCATGCATGCATTTTGTCTGCTCCAGACTACCACAGCCTTCGCTCTTATGATCTGAGGATTTTGTAAATTAGAACAATCTGTGAGGGCAATGAGCACATGCACATGGCAAGAACCCTACCTCCCAAAAAGAGTCCAATTAAGCTCAAATACGGCAGATGCTTTGAAAAAAAAAAAAGAGTTTGTTTTTTAATATCGCATTGCTTCGTCATCCACATGAGAGACGCTTTTTTTTGTCCTTTTCTTTTTTACTGATACAATGGCTTTGGCAGGCTTTGCGCTCTTACTGTGTTTTTCAAAAGCAGGTGCTTGACTCAAAATGGGCTGTTAAGAGTCGACCTAATGAAAAGACAGGAGCCCATATTGAGAGCAGATGTGAACAAGCCAAAAGTAGAGAAAAGTGCACGCACACGGAGAGGTGACTGCAGCATGAATGTGGCTCATTGTGCTTTGGGCCTTGTGCGCGCTTCGCAGAGATGGCTGCGTTCGCGCTGAAGGTGGGTATGACTCACTTCATCCATTAGATCAGTGGCTGAGGTTTGGACAGCAGCCCTCGCCTGATACTGAGACCACCACTCGCAAACCTTCCCAGGCAGCCATCTGCTCAACGTTTCTGCCTTTGACTTCTTGAAGGAGAGCTAGAATACTGCGAACGTTACACTTTTCTCTCCAAGGATCAGTCACTGCGCTGCTTCTGCGAGGCAGCAGTCGCATCGCTGTGGGCCAACTTTCCTTGAGCAAACGGGACATATGCCCTCCTTTTCTGGAAATAACTTTAATCGCCATAAGGGAGGGGCCTTGGAGGGACTGCTGCAATACAGATGCACGATGCCCTGAAGGGGGACAATGCATTATGTTTCGTGGCGGAGCATTATAGCATTATATTGCTGTCTTTTTTTAACGCAGTTTTAAAGCAGTATGTGAAAGATTAGCATTGCTTACGTCTTTCTGCTGCAGCGTAAATTTTTTTTAAAATGGATTCTTTGTTTTTTTAAAAAACAAATGTGCTAACCCGCTGGAACTGCACTCCAGCCATTGCAGTTAGTAAAAAAACCCCCAAAAAACACTTTCTACTAAGATATGCTTTTATTCTTTCTGCGTATAAAGACAAAAAAAAAAAAAAACACACCACAAATTACGTATTATCAAGTAAAAGAAGCACAGTCATCCATCTAAATCATTTTTCTTCTTCTTTTTTTTTTTAAGCCTGGGAAAATCTAGAGCTTCTGTCGATGAACGTGAATTTAGATCTGTGGCCAAGTCCAAAGGGAAACATTTGCCATTATAAACAAAGCAGCAGCTTCTTTAAAGTCCCCCTGAAAAGTTTTCCTATGTTTGAATAAATCTCAGTGTGAATGGATCCTCTCGCCAGTCGCCTTCTCTTTCAGTTTTTCTGTTGTGGACGTTCACGCACATGAGGTAGCACTGATTAACATGTAACATTTTAATTTTATCACTTGTCATGTGCTATTTTTTTTTTTGTTGACGTCTATTTGTGCGTCTATGCAGAGGGAATCAAACATCATGTCATGTTACACCTGCAAACATAAATATGTCTTATTGGGACTTTATATGACAGATCAAAAGAAATGATTGTATAATTATGAAGTGGATGAAACATATTGCACGTTTTTTAGTATTTTTCCTAAGTTAAGGCTCGAAAAGTGTTTTGTGTAAGCATCCCCTGCTAAAATAATACTTTGCAGAACCCCCTTTTATCTTTCTACAAACTCTGTACACCCTGCGTTTAATTTTAATTTTTTTTACCAGTTTGTCTAAGCATAATAGCTCAATCGCATTTAGATAAGATGGAGATAATCTTTTGAATTTCTTTCAAATTGTCAGCATTGCCACAGATGTTCAGTTAGATTTAGATGTGGACTTGGACCAGGAAGCTCTAATGTTTTTGGAAAATGAACTAAAAACAATTTCTTAGCTAAACTTTCTCAGCCATTTGAGAGTCCTAATGATGCATATTTTACACTTTTATTTTGCACAACATTCTGTGAATTTTTCATTTAAAGCTACCATAGAACTTCATCCTCTGCTTTCCGTTGTCAGGAAATTGACCAAACTGGATGTTAACACTGTTAAAAATGTAGGATATCTCTTTATAACTTAACCCTTCTTCGCAGCTTTCTGCTCTGTTTTTGTTTTTTAATCACCGGTGTCTCTGCAATGTTCTTTACTCCTGCAGACATCTTGAAGGACCTCTATGACTGCTGAGAACAAACCTGGAGCTACAGATGCTTGCATTTAAACTAAATCTGCAATCATTATGCTTTCATTAACACCCTGTAGTCTGCACTCAGGCAGTGCAGCAAGCTTCAGGGGAGAGGGAAGCGGCACTTGTTACTGCAGCTCTGCTGTGTTTACAGGAAAAGCTTGATTGCAGACATCATCGCAGCCATATTCACTTCCTGTGTTAATCCCCTCACCATTGCAGCTTTTTATTTCCGAAGCTAAAGGAGAGAGGCGTGGGGAGAATTTTTCATTTCTGCCTCGCTTCACCACAAACACCATTCACCTAAGACTCTTAACGGAGCCACAGTGTCCTGCTAAAACAAACAGCATTGAGCAGGCAGAAACAAATGCTTTTGTCTTAGAGTTATATTTAGTTCCAGTCTGCCATCAGCCAAACATCAATGCTGACAGGACTTCTTGGTTGGCCTCAGATGTCAGTCAGTCTTGTCCAGAAACCTCCACGTTCCGCGTGGAGCACGCTTGAACATTTTCGCAGCGTCTTATTTTTGCTTTTAAAGTACAGGCTTTTGTTCCCCGCTGTGCTGTGTGACACAGATTACTGTAGCACCTTGGGCCTCTCTCTCTCTAGAGCTCTCTCATGCTGCAGGAGACATGTCATCCCAGAACCGCCTTCATTGCAGTTCTCATTCCTACAAGCCCTGCAGGCCATGCATGACTCCTCTGAGAGCAGAGAGATCCAAAAGACAGGAAACAGCTTGAGAGAAGCCCAGCAGTCAAGGCTGTGGGAGGGCAGAGGATAGGGTGTGGGGGGGGGGGAAACGGGGATTTCCTCAGACGGTACTTTGACTTTTATCAGGAGTGTGGAGTCCTTATCTGTTAGCCTGCTTTATGAGTGCGTGATTAATTTAAGGCTCTCCTTTTATACCTCTACTCAGGATGATTACGTCTCTCCACCAATCTCAAGGACTTTCCAAAGTTCTCAGCATCCTGTCCACCCGACTCTGTATGGAAATGTCTCCACAAGCTCCGTTCCCCTTTGGATTAGGCATGCCTTAATTTTTTTTTTTTTTTTGAAGTATTATTGTGCTGCACAATCATTAGTGTTTCATTAGCGTAAATTAACCGCTGAGTTAATTATCGGGAGGCTGCGTGGGATCTACGCTCACTGTTCCTTTAAAGTCGTGCAGAGGGGAGCCCACGATAAAGAAAGGAGGGGGCAGCTGTGCGCCAGTTGGAGGTGTCTGCCTGTCGCAGCGCCTTGGGGTTGACATTAAGAAGAAGAGCGCGTCCATGCTTCATCTGGGAGGATCATCGCGAAGCGGAAGGCGCTGGAGCACAAGCCGACCGGGGGAGGTGCACGTCGGTGTGAGGATACATGGATGGACAGAGACATACTGGAATCGGAATTAAGTTGTCAGCCGGTGCGAGAAATATCAGCATATAATGGGGAATACAGCGCCAAAGCCATTAATAGGTGAGGCTTCTTTTTGCTTTTTTTTTTCTCCCCTCTTCGTTTTTGGTCATTATTGGCTTATTAGCGTGGGGAAACAGCAGAAGTGTGTATACACATGGCTTGTCTTGTGATCGCCGTGCACTGATGCGCTCCTCATCACGGGGGAGATGAGCGTGATTCCCTGGGAAGCGCTCCTTTCCTTCAGCAGCCGCGGTGCTCCACAAAAAAATAAAAAAAATAAAAAAACATTTCCATATGATCAGCTTTAGGATTCATGTCAGTAGTGCAAACTTGACAGAAATGATAGCAAAAAAAAAAAAAAAGATTTTCATGAACAAATATCTTATTAGAATAGCCTCTGCATTTATAAAAAAGCACATCTTTTGCACTGCCGCGTTAAAATTTAAATGATAAAGCTATGGTACTTGGTTTTAATTCAGGCAGACATTTAGCATGTTTAAAAAAAATAAGGTGAGCTATGTATTTCAAATTTCAGCAAGGTTTTATTGCAGTAGTTCGTAAAAGCTCAAAACACCAAGGCAGCCCATTGAGAACAATAGTTAAATATATACATATATCTAGAAGAGAAAAACACCAAAATATCGTTTTATTCCAAGTGCTATTACTTTAAGAGCAGTCTCGAGTGATTAGCAGTGATTTATTCTTGTGTGCGCTTGATTGTCAGTCTCGTTTTTTTTTTCATGATTATGAGCTCTCAGCTCTGAGCCACTTTGTCATGTTACCTAGAGCCCATTACTTGATAATCAGTTCCCCTATATCACTTTGATTTAACGTCTGTCACACTCCCACGCTCCCAGCAGGCCCGTCTCAGCAGCTGAATAAGGGGGTGCTGCCATCACAGCAACTCACATTAGTTTTTCTTTTTTTTGCCAGGAATGTTTCCTTCTGGAAATCCACTTAAAATCAAGTCAAGCTTTGATTTGTCAACATACGCTGTCAAAACAAATAATTTACTCAATAAAATAAGTGCAATCGTAATCATTTTTATTCAATATTTTTTATGTATTTTTTAATAGCTAAAAAACACAAATTGGGGAGGGGAAAAAACTTCAAAAGTCAAATTCTTAATTGACTTTAACAATTTGACAATTCCAACGTATAAAAGTAATTTAGCTTAAATATTGTCCTTTTTGATAAAAGTTACAAGAAGTAGGAATTGTTTTTGATTAAAATGTTACTGAAATAGTAATTAGTCGAAATCTAAGAAGGCGGCGTGTAAACAGTTTCCCTGAAAAGCCCACAGATTTGCTACATTGACAGCAGGGAGCTCAGTGTGATAGCAACATTTGCTTTAGCATTAGCGCTAATGCTAATTAGTTAAGTCATGCGACGTTCTTAAAGTAACAATAGTTAACTTTTCAAATCTCTCTAGCTAAGGTGGCTTGTTAGCCTTACTTGAAAACCCCAGCTAACATAGGTAATGTCTGCCTCAGGGTTAAGCTGAGGTTGCTAGACAGTTTGACCTTAGCAACGCCGCAGGTCAGGCTAAATGAAGCAAGCTAGCTCCGAGACAAACTTTCCGAACCACAACTTCTGTGCCAAACTTAAATTTCCATTCAGACATGAAAGATTGCACATAAACATGGCAACCTTACAACCTGACATGAGAATTAAGATTGATGGAACCGGCGCTAGTCAAAGTGTTCCTTGTTACTAAAAGTGAATTGGCTAATATTTTTTAGATTTGAACTGATTTTGAACATTACATCTGCATACTAATCTACTTCATTAACATGTAAATAATTGTGATGGCTTTAATTCTGTTTAGAACTTAATTTTATAATGTACATTTCCTTGTAAACATGGCTGTTATTTTTTCGTGGTTACATCAAAGCAAAGTCATCAAAGCTTACCAGTCAGACATAAATGATTAACATCCAAACTAGATTTATCTAAGCTATTTAAGTAAATAGGCAGCTTGTTAAGCTAAAGAAGAATTTGAAGAATGCTTAAAATCAGTTTTCTGTCTGAAGAAGCTGGCCTTGGTATGACAGTCTTGTGCAGTCTTATGATTTCATTTACGCTTTTTCATCTTTTAGAATCCTGAAGGTTCATCATTTCATGGCAGTTTTTCCCAGAAATAAATTGACCACTAATGAGCAGTGGCAGACACAATCCAGAGGTCAGATGACGTTTTTAGAGCCAATCCAGAGAAATGATTTCTTCGCCTCAAAATGTGACAGAGTGGTAGAGTGAGTAGTTTCTCACAATTGAGAATGACCTTGGCCCAGTCAGACACCAAATCTGTGAAATTCAAATACCGTTTACATTTTCTGTCTCAGAAGATATGAAATCCATACTTCCTCTTTTGTGTTAAGCAATGCCACACACACACAAACACACACAGTACCATACATTATCTGTCCGTAAATATATTCATCTAGAGTTTGAGTGCGTAAAATATAGAAAACACTTTGTTGTTGGCTTGCCTGCTAGCTTGGTCACGGGTTACAACAGTTGCAAATCCCAACAATTTTCCAATTTACAGTCTGTCATTCTGTCACTAGGAAGTTACGACTTCCTAGACAAATTAAATGCAGCATTACATCTCCAACTTCCACATTGTTCCAGTTGCAGATCAGAAAATCTGGGAGGTTGGGTAATGTTTGTGCAGGGACCATGCTGATTACTACTAGCAACACAATATGGTACCAGTGCACTTCTCTATACAGACTTAAAAGTTGTAATCTACAAACAGAAACAGTAAATCACTGCTACATTGGAAATGTTTGTCTGAGGTACAAAATGGCAGAAGTGCAATTCATTTCTCTAGCTATCCTGATGTTATAGTCTAGCAGCAACAAATTTGGATTTTAAATTAAAAAATGGATTTCTGCCAAGTTGATTTCTTTTACTTGAAATTTGCTAATTCATTCTAAGTATTAATGGGGCAGAATGTAATATCTGCTACCTGGAGAGAACCTGCACATGCAAACTCTATGCAGGAAAAGCTCAGTGTGGGATTGAACGGGGAACGCTGTTGCTGATGGTACTTTTATATCCTGTTGAAAAGAGTTGAATCTGAATGTGGGCAGATTGTGTTTTTGTTTAGCCCTATTTGATAGTTATTTTTCATTTTCTTTATTTTTACAAGAACAAGACAATATCTTGTATAAGCAATTTCTAATTGTAGTTGAAAACTGAAAGATGCAAAGACACAAAGAGGCTTATTGATAAATTTACATTTAGTAGTGAAAACACTCTAGAGATCTATGGATCTTTATTCTTCCTACATATTTATAATATCAATTTTTACTTATTTTATGTGAGGCCCCAACTGCAGTCATAATGTGCTCTGAGCCGTCCCTTGCCGCTTGACTTGCTGCGACTTTCGTCTGGTAAGGGCAAACAAGTGTCTATATCAGGTCTCACTGTATGTGATTAAACTTCCCTGTCTGTCCCCCCGTCAGCGAGGCAGTTGTGCCTCAGGCGGTCGGGTCAACATGTTTTCTATGTTGCACTAACCTCCAAAGTATATTTTACTTGCTCAAAACCCAAAATGCTGAAGTGCAGATGGGAACAGAGGCACATCGTTTGAGATGTTGCAGATGTTTCCGAGCTCTATAGTTTAGAATATAATCAGTGATAATGCCTAATTTAGGAAATGTGCTGTGGAACATTTCACTGAGTTATTGTCTTTGCACCAGAACGCCGTGAATTTCCAGCGGGAACGTAATCTCGCCGTGGCCCGCAGGAGGAGAGGAGACACACCGCCTCGCTTTGAGGGTCGACTCGCAGCCAGTCTATACCATAAACACTCATCATTCATGTCTCATTTGGGCTGGCGCTCGATTCGTCTTCTCCTCAGTTCTGATCTGTTTGTTTTGCAATGCTCATCAAGGGGTTCTTTTTCGCTAACTAGGACGCTGACTCCTCCTGTGCAGACGAAATCAAAGATTAGGCCTTTTATTTTGGTGTTTTGACACTGACTATGCACTGCGCGAATCATTCTCCTCTTTTGAAGATAAGTGGAGGAATAAAGGGGGCTATTCAGGGTTTATTTATGCTGTAGGCCAGGGGTGTATGATGAAGACTAATGGCGTATGTTGCAAACTTTAAGTTTGATCTAAAGGTGATGAATTTGACAGTTTCCCGGTATTTTACAAATTTATTTGAGTCAATTAACAGTTTAATGCACAAGACTGTCAGTTCCCTTTTTTCTAATGCTGCACTTTAAAAAAGCTGATTTCAGTCATCTACAGACATTGTCCTCTCAGCTCGTGCAATAACAAATTAAAAGAAACTTGCAGTTCAGATGCCGTGTTAGCCGAATCGTTGAAGGGCTCTGTTCTCATCCACCTATGTAACTCTTGATGTTTACCCGCACAGATGCTACTTTGCAACCCCGCCCGGTGGCTAGCAGGCAGTACTACATCCTCCCCAACAACGGGTCAGGTGTGGAGAGAAGAACGTCTGCCCCGCCTGTCAACATCAACCTGGAGTCGTTGCGCTTCAACCCTCATACCAGGGGGAAGAACATCAGGCTGGACGGGCAGCTTCGAAGAGCGACTCGCAAGAACAGCTTCTGCAATGGCATCACCTTCAGCCATCGGCCCGTCCACCTCTATGAAAAGGTTTGCCTCATCTCTCCGTACCGTTCTTCCGATAAGGTCGCAGTAAGGTTGTAGCAGTTTCATGTGTTCAGGTCCGTCTTCGCCTAACCGGTGTGCACACCGGCTGGAGTGGAGCTCTGCGCTTTGGTTTCACCAGTCTGGACCCAAGCGAGCTGGAGGCCACTGACATCCCCAAGTATGCGTGCCCAGATCTGGTGACGAGGCCCGGTTACTGGGCCAAGGCCTTGCCTGAGAGACTGGCTATAAAGGACAACATGCTGTCATTCTGGGCCGACCGCCACGGGAGGGTTTTCTACAGCATTAATGATGGAGAGCCCATCCTCTTCCACTGTGGGCTCAGCATTGGCTGCCCGCTCTGGGCAATCATCGACATCTACGGCATCACTCAGGAGGTCACACTGCTTGGTAAGAATCTCGTGATGCTGGTAGTCGGTGCATCATGAAAAGATCAAGTTTTGTGAGCAAACTCAACTTCTAATAGGAAGATATTTAGCCATGTACAGTGCTTCGTAAAAACTTTCTGTGCCCTTGTTACAACCATAGCTATGCCTGCAAACCTCAACATATTTTATTGTGATAGACCAACATGAGTTAGTGAAGACATGAGAAGTTTAAGAAAATGGATGCACTTATTTTTATTTATTTTTTAGAAAAAAAAACATTTGAAAAGTTTGACAAATTATGACACTTGATTATGATAAGAAAAAAAATGTTTTGTCATTTCTAGGAGGTGGGCCTTGTGCCACAGCGTCATGTCTTCTTTCAGCGCCACGATGTTTCAGTATTGAGATGACTCATTCAGAGTGAAGTGCAGTGTTAGTTTTGTGTCACAAATACATTTTGCAAAAGGCCAAAAAATAAATAAATGTTGGTCTCAGCCCAAGTGTGTTGATTATAGGACTGAATCATTGTTTTTATTAACAAATTGTCTCACCTGAGCCGAGAATCTCAGCAGCTCCTCCAGAGACGCCACAGGCCTCCTGGCTGCTCTCCTTGCCCAGCCTGTCATTTTAGGCAGATGGCCATGTCTTCTTAGGATTGCAACTGTTTTGCTCTTTTCCCATTTTTAGATGATGGCTTGAACAGACACTCCTTGGGATATTATTATCCAAAGGAGTTTAAAAAAAAGTAGTAGAAAACGTCGTGTCATTATTTTTAGCTTCACAAATATCCACCACTTTGTGCTTACCTATTATGAGACAAACCACGTTGAAGTTTGTGGTTGTTTCGTGAGAAAATGTGAAAAACTTCAGGAGATATAAATACTTTTGCAAGGCATTGACTATAGTACTCCATATTTCTCTATTTGGAATCAAGTCAGTCATCTCGGGACCATGTGTTTTGACAACCCAAAGTCAACAGCAACACATTTTTATAGGGTCAACATATTCACGGCTAAATTAGACAGATTCTTGGGAGTTTGGCTTCACAGCCCCCTGGGTCGGTTTCAAATGGTCTGGGATGGCTCGATGATGAATGATCTGTGTGTCAAAACGGATCTGTGTTTGTCTTAAAAACCAGAGCCTCTTTATTTCAAATTGGCTAACATGACATGGAGAAATGAACAACAGATGTCATGTGGTCTACTCACCCTCCCAACTACTATTCACAACTTCCATAAACACTCTCTTACTATCACTTTCCTGAGCCGTGTAACTTTTCTCCGTTCACGCCGGCTTCGCTCCCGTCAACGTCTGTCCCCCTCGCTGTCCTCGCTTTTACACTTACTCCATCGGGCGTGTTTGTCTTCGCCCGACAGAAGCTGTAGCCTTGTTTGGTCAAGGCGGTCCGTCCCTGAAGCTTTGGTGAGGGGCCAGGGAGCTCTACTGCTCCAACATCTCTAGAAATAGTGGTAAAGGAATGCACCATAAGTCAGAGAGGGGCTACAAGCAGCAGACTTGTTTATATCTGTTTCTGGAGTGCAGGGAAGCTGAAGCTCTTCCTGACAATGCTTGTTTGTCCACGTAAAGTAAATACAACTTGGGGCTAAATTCAACATAGATGTGTTTACGTTTTGATTTCTGGATGCTATCATCATATTTTGTCATCAGAAACAACCCTAAGCCAGCTGTAGCAACTGTGAAATGCTCGACATGGGCAAAAATGAAACCCGTTGTAAATCGTTTTATCAAATGGCGTCATTGCGTTCTCATCAGAAATAGCCTCAGTCTTCAAAAAATAATAGTATAAATCCAGCTGTTCTGTATGGGCTCGAGAAGTTTGGAGTATCTTTAGCAGACAAAACAGCAGAAAGGACGGGCAGGACATTGGATCATACGGGTCAGGCTTACACCAACGACAGTCCAGACAAGGAAAACCTTAATCAGAGATTCAGAACCGCTTGAGATCCACAACTCAAGTGGGAGAATCTGTTAACTGGACAACTATTAATAGATCCAGCCTTTCAAAATGAGGAATACGTGTTAAAAGAGACCCAGAAGAAGTTTGTTACAAGTCAAGTGGGCGACGGGGCAAACATGTGGAAGAAGGTGGTCATATAAAGTGCTGTGTGTGGTGGAAAGCTAACGCTGCATATCGCCGAGAACATACCGTACCCCTTGTGAAACATGACAGTGGCAACAGCATGCTGTGAAGAAGCTGTACTTCAGCAAAGACGGGGAAACTGGAGACAGCTGAAGGGGAATGGATGGAGCGAAATATGTGTAGAAAAAGAAAAACAAATCCTGTTAGAGGTGCACCTTCCAGCAGGATCATGATCTTATACAGTAAGTGCTACAATGCAACAGTTTAAATTAAAGCCTGGCTGTGTGTTAAAACGGCCCAGTCAAAGTTCAGACCTAAATCAAATTGAAATCTCCAACCCGTTTGTCCAAGCGTGAGCTATTCGTCCTAAGGAAAAATCGGCAAAAACTTCAGTCTCTAGATGTGCGCAGACATGCTCAACACCTGAAAAAAAAGGGCTGAAATACAACTCAGTCGGCAAAAAGCAGCATCCATGAGTTATCTTCTTTCAGAAGATGTCATATTTCTTCTGGAAAAATGAAGCCTCTGAAAAGAGCTGTGACTAATAGCAGATTTTGTAGCTCCCTTGCAGTTTATTTTATTGCCAGTATTACAGCTTTCCAGTAAGTGTTATAAAAATTTGTCTGAATCAGTTTGAACTAATATTCCTGACAGCCAGCACATTTTTTTTTTCATGTCTTGTCTCGGAAAGTAAGAGTAAAGTGCCAACTAGAAGAGAGAACAGAGAAATGTTTTGGGACAGTTTATATCATGCCACGGCATAGCCATTAACCTTTTCGTGCGCATTTTGCTTCGCAGACAGCACGTTTGCTGAGAGCGTGGGGTCCAGCTGCCTGAGCGCTGCCCGTCTGAGTGCCTATCTCCCCCAGAGCAGCCACGACTCGGCCAATTACAGCAACAATCAGCTGGAGAACAACCAGGCGGCTGCTGCCAAGATGGCCAACCTCCAGCTCAGTAACTACTCTCAGCTCATCCCCTGCTGCTCGTCCTCTTCTTCCTCCTCCACCACTCCGTCCTCGGCCGTCTCCACCGCGTTCCCGAGGGGCGTCCGGGGTCTGCCGTCCCTGCTGGACAACGACTTGCACTTTCATCTGATCCGTGGATCTGACGTGATACTCTCCGCAGACCGTTTGGCCGCCTGTATCCACTTTCTGGACAGCAGTCGGACTCTGGTGTTCAGTGACCGGCCGCTCCACGTGGGAGAGACTTTGTATGTGGAGGTGGGCCACCTGGGCCTGCCTTACTTTGGGGCGATGTCGTTCGGTTTGACGTCCTGCGACCCAGCTTGTCTGCACTCTGGAGACCTGCCGGCTGACCCTGAGGTGCTCCTGGACCGGAAGGAGTACTGGGTGTTGCACCGCGGCTTCCCAATGCCTTGCTCTGGAGACGTGCTCAGCTTCAGCCTGCTGCCCAGCGGAGAGGTGCACCACGGGGTGAACGGAGTGGGACGGGGCCGGCTGCTCTGTGTAGACTCCTCTCAGGTCCTGTGGGCCTTTTTCACACTGCACGGAGCTGTGAACAGACTCAGGATACTCGGTAAGTGTGTTCAGAGCTACACACCAAGCACACAAAGCATCTGAGGAGCCAAAGCAATAAAACAACTTGGATAGCAATCACTGGAACTTTCCCTTTTAAAGAAAAAGAGAATTTTGTTCACTGATGCTTAATGGGACAGAGCTGTGAGCACATAAAGCCCTGTGCCATTTCTCCATCTGTTTTTAAATGCAAACAGTGACGAAGCAGTGAGATGAGATGGGATGTGTCTCTTTGAAGGGCGAGGAGATCATACATAAACTATTTATCCACACTACTTTATCGTTAGCTTTCCACCTCATGTTCCAGTTGTCAAGTAAATGTAAATAGACAATCGGAGTTGCAGAGCGGCAGACTTTTGATCTCTGTGTTTGTTTTGTAAATTTCTGACCTCAAAATACAGAAATTAGCAGATTTTTTTTTCTTCACGACCATAACTCAAAAGCATTCAAGAATAACCGGCCAATTTTTAGTCCTCTTTTCGCAACGCCATCTCTTTCCCTTCTGCAGACCTGCAAGCAAGCCGTTTCTTAAACCAGACTGTACATATCAGTTTACTTGCCTTTTTAGTTAAGTATTTTTGACGATTTATGAGGAGAAATAATCATAAAAACGCTCAGATCTTTCACATAAATTAATCCGTGCGTGATCTCTGCTTATAATTTTTTCGAGACACTAAATGACACCCTATTTCCATTTATTTTAGCTATGAATTGGAATCATGTCTGGTGCTGACAACTACATGAAACAACCATATGCAACTTTTTAATTATACACATCATTTGTCTGAGTTACATATTTTCTAGAGTTGACGATTAAGTTACTCAAAATCCTCCTTTTGTCCAAGCAGATGAGAAACATAATTTTGTACCAAAACAATCAGGAGCTTCAAAGTTCAAGGTTCAATATAGTAAAGGAGCAAGACATCTAATTATTTATGTTAGAAGCAGATGTGGTGTCATACTGGGAGTGTCTGTTCGCTTTCATAATATTTATTGATTTGATTTTGAACTGTTTAGCAGCTCATGCTACATTTGAGCTATTAGCTATTAGCTATTAGCTCAAATGTAGCTAATAGCTACATTAGCTCTCTGTGTATTTCATAGCGAATGTAAAGCCTTACTTAGATTCCCAACATTTCTGAATCGAGAGACGTTGAAAGCCCAACGCGGTAAAACGGAGCAACTTATCTGTAACAGATAACCTTCCTGTTATCTGCCTCATTTATTAGTAAATCTGACAGTTTTAAAGCACTGAACGCTAAAAACGAATTCTAATCCTGGTTAATCACAATTAGATTGAAAGGAATCTTAATACTCCCCAAACCAAACGTGGGCTTCCTGAAATGATGACAACATTTCTCGTTTCCCAGGCTAAAGGAATTTGTCTGGGTAGATGTGTTCTTCATTAGGCTGTTTAACCTTGAGCCGTGACCTTTTTCAGTCCCTGTGGTCCGACTCCCACATAAACTCCCATCAGACCAGACCCCCGTTCTCTCTTGTTTTTAATCCAGCGATGTTTCTGCTATGAATAGAAGACCGTGAAAAAAAAAAAAAAAAAGTTGCTGTAATGAATAAGCATGCATATGTGATCTGTCTGCTTCGGGCATGTCAGAGTACAGCCTACAGCAGCCGACGTTCCGAATTGACTCGTTTTTTTAAAAACTTACGTTAAATACATCCTCGAACTGAATCCCGACCTTTTATAGATGGGGAGTCTAATTGTGTGGCAGTTGTTGATTTATAATTGTCTTTGCGGAGCAGGAACACTGCAGTCCAGTCCTCCCTGCACATCCCCCACAACCTCCCAGAGCAGCAGCCCAGATGACAGTGACTCAGACCTGGCTTTCAGCGTTAACAGATCCTCCTCTGCCTCAGAATCCTCTCTGGGTAAGATGCCAGATGTTGACAGCATGAATTATGCTATACCGTATATATGGAGGCCTGCATAAGCCCCCCCCCTCTCAAGGGACGACTTAGAAGTGCAGCAGTTCTGACAGGCTGCAGGGGAAATTTGTTGTTTCATACTTTTATCCATTATAGGAAGCGAGGCTTCTGCTGAAACATTTCTGGAATGTTTAGATTTTGTCATTGGCAAGGACGTTTTGTTAAAAGTGTTTAGTCTTATTTTTACATATTGTTCTGAGCAGATGAATATTAAACAATAAAAAAAACCCTCATTCTCCATCAACAACAGAGGATTACTCTTCCATTCATCCAAGCTGTCTTCTCTCCTTCCAGTGACTGCTCCCAGCTCCCCGCTTAGCCCCCCCACCTCCCCCTCCCTGACTGCCTCTGAGCTGCCCCCTGCTGGGAAAAGCGGAGAGTGCACCATCTGCTTCGACCAGGAGGTGGACACCGTTATCTACACCTGCGGACACATGTGCCTGTGCAACGACTGCGGGCAGAAGCTGAAGAGACAAATCAACGCCTGCTGCCCGATATGCAGGAGGCCCATCAAAGACGTAATCAAAACGTACCGGCCGTGATGGCGGCTCCGCTTTGTGAGCAGGTGCTGCGCGCGTCTCCGCCACCTGTCGACTCCTCTCAGGCTTCGCTGGACCACAATCCTGACCTTAAACCAGAAACTGACCGCATCAGAACATCACTGTGCCTCTTAGATTTCCCTTACTCGTGGCTGAACGCAGGCTGGAGTCAGAGCTAAGATGGACTAATGACCAGACTCGATGTTTGACCGCTGTCACTTCGGCCAAGATACGATGGAACATGTGCTCCATTTTATGTTTTTTCACATCATCTCACCTGCGTTGTTGAAGCAGAGAGGTTTTGTTGTGACTATCTTGTCCTTATTGTTGTCATTCTAGGTATGTAGTAGTCCTTCGCAAAAAAAAAAAAAAAAAAAAAAAAAAAAAAAGAAATTGAAAACATTTTGTTATGTAACTACAAACTTCAATCCATTTAGTTTGGATTTTCTGTGAAAAAAACAAAACAAAAAACAACCTAAACTGGTACATTATTGTGACGCGAAGGACGGGAAAAAATAACTGAAAAGTGTGGCGTGCATTTGTAGAACCACACTAGATTTTCTGTTACGACTTAAAAACTTTTAGAGCGCATCTCTACGGGCTTTGGACATCTAGAGAAGAACATTTCTTATTTTGTAAAGATCTAGATCTAGATGTCAGCTGAATCACTCTTAGCAAATTTTAATCTCAACAATTGGCTTTCTAGCATCCAGTTGGGCGTTTAGGGTTGTTGTCCTGCTGAAAGGTGAACCTCTTGCTGGTTTTCTCCCTCTCGCCATTTCTTAGCCCCTTCCATCTGTCGACCAACTCTAAAGCTCTGCAGCTTCCCTGTCTCTGCTGAAGAAAAGGATCCACAGCCATGTTTCACTCTGTGAGTGGTGTTTTCTGGATAGAACTAAAAATATTAAATATCCATCCCCAAATAGAGTTTTGTATGTGGACCAAAAATTTCAGTTCTGGTCTCATCTGACCAAAGCAGCTTCTTCCACATTTGTCCTCTTTTTTTTTCCACTTTGCAAGGCAGTGCTTGCAAAGTGCAGGAGTAATCATTTTCTTGCAAACAGATTAATGTTCTCAAACCTGCGGGTCCTTCAGAGAACAATTAGACTTAAACTGGGGCTAAAATTCACACGGTAAAGAGTAGAAATGCAAGTCGCTTTTTTTTTCTGTTTTCTGTAAAGTTTTTGTAAACCACGCATCCTTTACTTTGTCCTTAGTGGTTATGCGTCGGCCCATCACGCAAATTCACACCTAAAACACATTTTCAGTGTTTTGGTTGCAACGTGACAAAATGTGACAATGAATACTTTTTTGCAAGGCGCTGTACATGTCATCCAAGAAAACCTGTGGACCATTGACTTTGAGTGCCTTAGATTGTTGTTACGATATCTCTAAAAGGAAAAAATAAATAAATAAATAAATAAATAAACAAATAAAATCCCTAGCCATATTTTCCGTATACGCTGTCCCCTGAGGCACGCAGAATGTACGCAACGAGAGTAAAGGCAGGTTAGAGAGAAGGTTGTGCTGGATGTAAGGGAAACGCCATGCTCTAAAGAAAAATGTAAGTTTTCTTGAGGAAAAAAAAAGAAGGAAAGAATCTGGTTTTGCACTCTGAGAGACTGACAATATTGTCTAAATACAGTTTATCTAGTTTTATTCTATAAAGACTAATTTAAATTATATTTTTGAAAAGCACAATTATAATTTAACACTAGCATACCCTTGCTGTTAAGCGATGCTCCTGAGTAAATCAACTTAGAGTGTGCACAGTAATATAAGTGATATTAAACGTAGAAGTACGCACTAGAAATAGATGTTTGCTGTTTATTAGGGAAAGTATCGCCACTAGTTTTTACACTATAACCTATCTAGAACATAGTATGTTGTATAGAACTCATGAGAATCATGATAGTATTTTTTTTTCTTTTTAAATAATGAAGCTTTGCTGATTTATACTTTCTTGTAAAAATGAGCCATCTTTTTTTCTTCACAACATTTTAATAAAATATCTATTGGAAAGTGAACAAATCCTAAGAGACAAGTGTTGCAGTTTTCTTTTTTGTTAATATGTGATGCTTTTTTCCCCCCCTTCTTCCTGAGGATCATTTTAATTTTTGTCATTTCGGAAAAGAAAATGAAGTTGCAAAGACAGGAAATTACTTTTATTTTTAAGTGAAGCGTGACACCGAAACGTTAAGTGTCATTATGCTGTTCATTTCAACACCTCTTCATCCCCAGTTTAAAAACACAAGGTTTTGGTTTTGGGTCAGAAACTTTTCATATTCATATTTCATAAAGACTACTTAATAATGTTATTAAATGGAGCCGCAGCCATTTGCGTATGTGATGACAAACCTCAAACACGATGCTTACTTGCATGAGAAGACCATGTTCTTGTTCTCCTAGTGCCACATTCTAAGTTTTGGTGTGTTATTAGTGTCTTTATTAATAATCATCGCGCTCATCTCTGCGGTTCCGGTCCTGTTCAACCACCACAAATCATCGTCACTGAATAAAAACATTTAATGTCTGACACAGTCATTGTGAATATTTAAAACTACAACTAGTCATGAACTAATTAAACAGCCCAAATCCCTTGTATTAAAAATTATAAAGAGCTCTAATGCATTTTTTTTTTAAATCGCTCTGACCTTCATTCACCTTGATGCCTGTCAAACTCGAGGTCATGCTTTCCTGCACTCTGAAGATTTCGAAACATGTGATGTTCTGTCCAGATATGAAGTGACAGCCATCATATTTACACGGTGACCTGTGGGAACAGTCAAAGCAGACGAAAGGTCATGCTAAAGACGTTGGAAACTACCGTACATTTTAATGAAGGAGCCAATAGAAATAACGTGGAATATTCACGTCTGTAGTTTGATCGACTCTTAACTTATATTTTACTTCATTACATAAGCATGAAACAAAACACCTAATTACATTCAAATCGAGGCCTGATGTACCAGTTGTCTACAACATAAAATCTGTTGTAATTTTATGATGGTTTTACAGAACTCATCATGCAGAATAAAACCACTTACTGACCTTTTATGCCTAAAAAATGAACAGAAATATAACGTGCTGGATAGAGGTGGAGGAGCTGCTGTTCAGTCGTATAGGAGGCATCCCCAGGTATCCTGCTGCTATCAACTTCCTGTAATATTTATCCAGTATGTATGAGCTTTTTTTTTTTTTTTTACATTGCAAGAAGGCTACATATAAGCTATATAAACCTTGAGTCTCAAATTCATACTTGTTTTATCTTTCGGAAACGAGACGCTCTGTATTATTTTCTACTTTTCCTATTTTAGCTGCAGGCATAAACTGTTAAGGGGGAATTGTAAGTGGACTTGTGATTTTGACATCAGAAGCTGCCATACAGTGCTTAATTTACTCAGATTAGGCTCTCGTTTGGAAGAGCATACAATTTCTTTTATTAATTATTCACATTTCATAACATTTTATATATTTAGGCTTGCGTTATGCCTCATGGTGAAATAACGTTTCCTTCCTGCACTGCCGTATTGTGGGGAATAACAAACAGCCTTTTTATCACAGGATCACCAAGAAGAGACCCTCAGGCGTCGGAAACTGGACTATATTTGACCCCAACATTAATCTTTCTCGGGTCATCAACAACCGGAGGGACACTCTAAAAGTAATTTCAGTGGCTTTTATTGACAGATACTCCTGGGCAACCCCAACTTTAGAATTAAAATAAGAGAAGGCAGTCATGACCCGCAGGTCTAATGAAATTTTACTTTTTCTTAGCATATTTTGGAGACATCGGTTTTCCCCTGAAAGCTAAAATTATTCAATTTTTGAATAACATTCATGAATCTAAAAATACTCCACATTTTGAAGTTGAGGTTCCCTGCTGACTAAGCAACAAAGGAGAATCATAACAATTGTTATTTAAAGAGTTCAGTTCGATTTATAGCACATTAAGGCGTTCAAATCAACAGCAAATGTACTGCGTAATTCCATTCTTAATTTTGTTTTTATTATTATTATTTAGTTTAGTATTATATTGGATTGCATTTTTCAGTTCAGCAGATGATTTAATGGGCATGAATAACTGATCTGGAGCTAAAAAGAAAAAAAAAAGAAATATTGTTAATCATCTTTTGTTCTTTCAGTTATTAACTTTGCTGGGTTTTTTATGCTAGTGCTAATGGGTAAATGTTAAGATTTGTTTTTCATTGTGAAAGTAAGGCTAATGTATGATTGCTGGTCAGACGGTCATTCTGATGTGTTGCTGTCCAAAGGGAGAGCTGAAGCTCCTATTTGCTGACTCAGATCTATGAACATTCATTTTTGTTACATTTCACTGAGTGCCTGATTGTCAGATAAAACCAGATAGGTTGCTTGGTGATGTGGACTCAGCAAAACACTGAATACTTCCTTCTGATTTCAGGGTGGATTTATAGCAGTGACTACGTCATCCTACCAAAGAGTTTTATTTGTTTGGGTAGAAAGGCCTCTGCTGTGCCTGTTGTTTGTCCAAAGTTAAGCTTTCTGGCAATCAAACAATTAGTTTGGTGGGGTCCCCTCCCCATCCCCCTTCACCCCCCATTTAGGGTTAGCTCTTGATACTAATTTAATAATTAAATTCTTTATATTTTGCAAGTTACTGAACACTTTATTTTTTTTAGCTAATTTAATGCTTTACGCTATCCTGGTGTATGAAGAATATTCTGTTATTGTGTCATTGACATTTTTTCCTTCCGTTCATTTGAATTCTTATACTGGGACTAGGAAGGAAAATCTGTTGGCATCAGCCCTAACCAACATTTTTTTTATTTTTTTCCCCCCCAAGCCGCCACTGCTGCAAGAGTCTCTGCTGGACGCACGAAGGCGCCATTTCCAAGCACATGACACTATCTTTAACGAATAAGAGTTTCTGACTAATGCAAGTCGTTCGTAGTAAAAACCATAAAGCGCTCATTTGAAATTAGCAACATCTTCCTCGCACGGATCAGGAAGCTTCACGTCCACTCGGGATCCCTGGATGAGTGGCAAATGGAGAGGTTCTGGACGCGCGGCGTGGTTTTTATTGGGCAGCTTGTGATTTCAAACGTGGTCGGCTCTTTTAATCTTCCTGAGCAACAAACGACAACAAATAATTTTACGAGTGTTTACTAAAAATATCTGGCCACATCGTGCTCATCCTCATTTCCATTACGCACAGGGGAGCTCTCACATGTCCTGCCGGACGCGCTCTCTTCTCAGTATGGGGCAACGCGGGGCAGCAGCGACGGTGACTGATGAGGAGCGCCGTGAAACCAGAGCCTTCAGCAACTCCAGCACCTTGCAGCTCCCACACTTTACTTCCTCGCTGCGCGTAAAGCGCGTTAGTATCCAAATGCTCGTGCCATGGCTCGCGGGACATCCCAGGACTTTAATGACGGAGGAGCGCGTCTTCCTGTCCAATAAAGTTCAATAGCCTTTCCCGCAAAGACATATAGATCTTTTCTTCCTTTCTCTCTCTCCATCTTTTTTTTAAATTGATTTACTTTTTTTATATTTCTTTATTACCTTGAATATTGGAGAAGCGCTGCCCATCATGGGCGCTGCATCCTGAGGGGGAGATGGATGTGGAGGTGAGGGATGCGAACGCCTCGGACTGCCCGCGGAATGAGAGCGGCTGCGAGCTGAACGCTTCCCCCGGCGGAGTGTCCACTGCGCTGGCCAGCGTGCTGATCTTCACCATCGTGGTGGACATCCTGGGAAACGTGCTGGTCATCCTCTCCGTGTACAGGAACAAGAAGCTGAGGAATGCAGGTGAGGAGCAAAAAAAGGCGTGAAAAGGAATGCGGTGCGCTGGGGTCAATAAATGAGGGAGACTTAAACGGCGGAGTAAATCTGTACATTTACGATGGGACAGAAATATACCATTCCGTTTGGGGGAGTTGATTTATTATTATGTCATTTGTGCTAAACTTTATTTATAGGGGTGATAAATAATAATAATAATAATAATAATGAAAAAAATGCTTTGACGAGGTTCGACCTGTTCCCTTTGTTTCATTCACAACTAAAGTGATGTAATCCAACACGCTTCCTCTGACCCCCTTGCTTAACAATCCGCCTCCAGTCTCAGCGTCTGCACTTTCTGCAGCCTTGCATGCCAGCCTTCATATCAGTCTATAATAACACTCTTCTCCCTCTGGCTGCCTGGCTGCTGTACCCTTGGCTTCTCCGGTCCAGATAAATCACACCCCTCCTTATATCATGACCTGAAGTGTCCCATGAGCAGCCAAGGTGAGAGGCACTGTCACTCTGACTGTAGCTCCCATGGCCTCTCTGAACATGTTTTAAATCAAACTCATATTCTTTTTTTTCTTTTTTTTTCACTCCTTCTACAGTTGTGATGCTCTGACTGGGCTCGTCCAATTTTTGTTGGGATTTTTTTATATATTTTTTTTTCCCTCCCCTTCTTGCGATACAGTTAAAAATATCTCCGGTGGAATAGATGATGTCTTGTGTCTTGTGTGTTAAGAGGCATAAAGGTTCTCATTTATGTAGAAAAACAGCAGCTCTGTTTCTTTCCTTGTTATTTAATTTTTTTTTATTCATAATC